CAACAATAAGATTTTTCCCCTTTCCAGTGATGACTCATCCAATATTGTGAATACATGTTGACAACCTCCATTGCTGTTGGCTCCACCGCGTCATTTCTTGTAGCGTCTCATACTGAAGCAGGTGCTCTTTTGATTTATTCACTGTCTTTCATAACATCAAGCACATTTTTCTAGTTTCATATTAGCCTGTGAGCACATTTCACAGAATAATATAAAAAGAACGGATTCCCACAAACCAGGATAAGAATCACTGTAGTATCTTAGTTTATATCAACTTCACAACATAGCCATGTGTGGGAATGTTTCACTATCTGTTCTACCTCTGTCTGGAGATGATATATAAACCCTGCAGCTCTCTTGTTTGAGATTACATTTTTTTTATTTAAAATTCCCAGATTAATGGATCTCAAATTGTGAATGATTCCGAAGCAGAGGAGAAATATCAGATAATGGGATCTAATGGCACTCAGAGTTATGCCCCAAGGGCATCAGGGCCCTCACTGCCATAAATAAGACCTGCTTTAATTCTGCATCAGACTTGAAGCAGCTGAACATGTGAGGGAGAAAATGTAAATTTGGTACTGTAGCATTCACCAATGATTTGCATGTAAAATGTGAGGAAAAACACAGGGACAGAGCAACACATTGAAGAGCATAATGTTTGGTGGAATGAAATGAGAGAGAGCAGAATCAGAGATATCATCTTTTTACTTTTCTTCCATGCAAAAACATGGGGCCTGCATTACCCCCAGTGAAACTCAGCTGCTAAAAGCTCAGTCGAAGATTTAGGTGTGTTAGGGTAGAAGCCATGAATATATCTTTGAGCTCCCTCAAGCAGCAACAACTAGCAGACTACAGTGGTCGGATAAGCTCACATCTAATGCAACATCCCCAGTCTTCAGACCCAACAGAAGCTGACTTGAGACGTCACTTGACGCAGTCTTTTGTAGCTCTAATGGCTTTTGACAATATTTACTCACATTCTGCAGCACTCACAAGACCTGTGAACAGGTTCCATTTTAATTGTTTCACTAGAGATTAAAAATCTGTCTTTAATGTTTCATTTTTCTGTCAACTATTATTGCAAATCTTGCTTGGAGCCATTTAAAGCTAGTATCTGCTGTACTTTCATGCAGTTCTTCCTCTGACTCTGTAAAACTGGATATTTCTTAACTCTACATTTGGTAATATGACAAGTGCACAAGTTCATTTATAGATCTTTTGAATGAGTTACCATAAAATATGAAGGCTCACTCAACACTCTTGATTCTCTTAGGCTCCTTCAGAACTTCAGTAGAAGCAAGAGGTTTGACTTTAGGCTAATATAATATGTTAATGCACTTTTTTATGATTCTGTTTTTCTGTGGTTGTTTTCTCCTGCATAACATCTCTGTATTACAATTAATAATACAGCTTGAGATAAATCTCACTATAGTAACTATAAAAGTTAATTAAGTTATAAGGGGTTATGAAGCCAGTACAGATGTAACCATAACCATTGTTACATGTTTCGATTTTTGTCGTGTATGTTTTAATAAATTGTTTTGTAAAGCAAAAGGTAGATTGTTGTATTTGATGTGATTTCTTTTATATATGTAAGTGATCATATTTACAGTATACAGTCTTGATATGGGGGTTATACAGTTAATAGTGATACAGTAAGGAAACTACTAACAATATATTCCTGTAGTGAGAAGAGCTTTTACTGGTTGTGTTGAGCTTTGACCACAAAGGGAAGTCAGTAGTTAAGCCTCATAAAGTGCTAATTCAATAACACTGTTTCCCAAAAAGCTAAAAAAAAAAAAAAACACTGTGGGTTTTAATCCATTTAGATAGCAAAGAGTTACAATGAACTGAACTGTGATAGTGTTAATTTGTGTTTGCTCTGTGTGTACAAAGCAGAATCTAAGCCGGCACTGCCTCCAACCATTAAGCAGATTAAATCTCTGACTGTGAGGTTGTCCACAGTCCTCCTGCCTGGAGTTCAGCAGAGCAGCTTAAACGTGTGTGTGTGTTCGTGTGTGTGTGTGGACATATTAATGTTGAATATTCATTATGGCGTCAGGGCTTTTTTTTGAAGTAGACAGTGATGCAGAGGCATGAACTGGAAAAGGTACTTCTGCGCTGCAACACTTTTTCTAAACGCATTGCTCAGGACTTGGTTGATGTGCTGCAAATGTAAAAGGCTGCATTAATCTCTGTCTTCTCTCTGTGGTTTCAGAGATCTGCCTGAACTGTGCACTGTGAAGCTGTCAGTTTGGCTGCAGCCAAAACCACAGCAAGACACAGTGAGCAACATTACAAGACAATATTTACTTTTGTTGAAAGAAAATAACTCCTCTAGCTTCAATAACGCTAGATTTAATGCAATATAATACCACTGCACCTGCAAGGCGTAATGAGCAGAGAGAGCACCATGATATTAACAAAGGAACTGATATCAAATATAAATGTGACAAATATTGCATATTTCATTATGACAGGGGGCGGAGGTTGGTTTTATCTGTTTATAACTTGTATAATTCCCACACTTTGTCTTATTTGGAGATAAACTCACCAGGTCATATGGCGCTCAACATTTATCAGTGTTGCTTTCTGAGGCATGCATTTCATTACAGCCTCCCAGCAATGACAATCTTATCTCCTGCACACACTCAGCAGGGAGCGGCCGCTACACGGCTAATCATTAATCGTTATTATAAACTGAGATTGCAACTGTGTAGGGGCTTCAAAAACCAAATAAATATCAATTTCCCCGCTCCTCCCTTCTGCAGCCGCTTGGCTGAAGCGAGGCGTAGAGCGGGTCCTAATTACAACACGCTCCCATTTCCTGCCATTAATCCTGTTTATTTACAGAGCGTGTTGACGGAAACGGGTCCGGGCTGAATGGACATCCACTGTCTCAGGGATGGATGGATATAAAGCCTTAGAGGAGATGGATTGCTCACATTTAGCTGATGCAATACTGCTTTAACGATAGGCAACAATTTCATATGCTCATATTAAAGCAAAGAAAAGCTGTGGAAATCAGATTCCGATACACCTCTGGTGGAAACCACTCGCTTCTTAACTCATCGTAAACCAACATATGGTGAGGGGACGGGGGAACAGCTGTCAGGTGCACTGTACAGTACCATACAATTATGTATGCTTTAACAGTAATGCTAACCAGCAATACATTTCAGCTACAAATGTACAGCCCCCCTTGGGGAGCGCCATGACAGTGGATCAGGGCCGCTCTGCAGCTGAGGGCTGGCAGCATTGTCTCTGCTTCAGTATGCACAGGCAGGCGGTGTGCACAAGGTCAGTGAGGGAGACTCACCACAACATCTACAGGAACCATCCATCTCACTTATCACTGTATGTGGCACGGTGAATAATCATATTAAGATAGATAGGGGGCTGCTTCCACTCTAACGAATAGATACTGTAGGTACCAAAAGTGAATCTATCTGAATAAAGGTGCAGCACAGAATGTTTGCAGACGTACAGTAGATAATGAATGCATGCACTGTTTCACACACACAAAGAAATCCAAGCAACACAGACAAGCTTCTTGAAGGTGCCTGTAATCTCCTCTATCGCTGTATCCCCTTTTCCCCAGCATCTACTTGGAGAGGAATCACAGGGACTCTGCTCCTCTTTTCATTCACTCATGTAAATAAAACGTCATGCGAGAGCATATCTATACGAAGGAAGCAGGTTATGAATGGGAGATGGAAGCAGGGATATGGGTGAGGGTTTATATGGGTATGTGTAGGGGGAGGGAACAGGAGAGAGAGATGTGTGAGATTTGCACAATAACAGAAGGTGAACTAATGATAAGGAAATTTGCCAGCAAGGCCTCGACAGGTACAGCAGGGAAATAGTGAGAACTGACTCAGAGCATCGAGGGGGATTTGTTAGTTTGAAATGTGCATCTATTTTTACAGCATACAGTGAAACATGAGGAGAGGCTCCAGTTTCTGTTCAAACTCTAAAATTGTTTGCCAGGAGGCAACAATCAAGGTACATGCCATGACCTCTTTGCAGAGGCCAAAGCTGACTCATCAAATTTCTGATTCAATAATGTAATCCACACGTCACTGGATGTATTCTGGAAATTGTTCCTTGTTCAAGGACATTGTGTTCTTCAAAATAAATTGTCATATTTTTGTTAGTAAGTGACTTAGAAAAACAAAAGAGTATTGACTATTGATTTATCATTATTAATCATTTTTGTTTGCATCCCTTTTTTCAGTATCTTTGTTCACATCTCTGTTGTCTCCAGTTGGCCAAAAAATGCTGAAACACATCCTAGAAAGCTTTAAACAATCTGAAACAAAAACGATTCTCTCCTCTCTTCTCCTCCATCCCTCATCTGGCTCCTTCATCCCGCCTTGTTCCCACCTCCTGTCTCCTCAGTCGCCTCCCAGGAAACAAAAGATACACTTCATCCTCAAACACCGACAGCAAGAAAAAGGCTTGAATTAGTTGGCAATTACATTTCTTTGAATGACTTGTTTACTGGTACAACTTGAGCAGCAGGCTCAGACATTTGACTGAGACCCCCACAAGTAATTTCTTATCGCAAAATAAGCCGTGAGCCCGCAAGTAAATAATGTTCAAATGCTCAACATTTCAGCTCCCTTTTTAATTACACTCTTGCTTTTCAGTGTCTCTCTCCTCCTAAGTGTGTGTGTGTGTGTGTGCTGGGCAGGTAGTATCATTTAAATTGGCTCGAACCAAAGCTCATTACTCACAGTTAAAAATGAAATGCAAGAGGGGAAAAAAAGCTTATTAAGGACAAAGCCTGACTAATAATGAGGGTCATATTACTGAGAAGTGCTGTGTAGTTAGAATTGGCCTGGCAGTATATCAAAATGCTCAGGGCAGACTACACTGCATATCTCCACGATAATAATCATACATGACATCCCTCTGCACTGAAAACATAAAGGCAAAGGGGAGTGAAGACAGGGAAACAGCGGAGACCTTCTCGTGTTAAACATGACCTTCTCTTACCAGCCAGTGTTGAACTCGACATGGGCATCAAAGAAGCCAACCACAGGAGCCGTGGCAGCGTTCCAGCCGTGTATTCTGGCTCGGATCAGGCCCTCCCGCTTGCTGTTCCTCACAATCTTCACCAGGCCAGGGTAGCGTTTGTTCACATACTGGTCCAAGTTGAATTTCAGCTCCACTGAAAGAGGACAGATAAGAAAGAATCCTCTTTTAAATAACTTCCAAATGTCTGTGCGAGATCACTAACCACGCAGCTGTAATAAATGATAAAGTGTTTCCAAGATAACCCCGGGCTCGTGCTGAATGATTTTGGCCTTGCGGTTTGTGATTAAGGATCGTCATGAAAAAGGATATTCATCTTGATGTTCTTTGGTTATTTTCAAATTTGGCAAACTTATAATGAATATTTCATTGAATTTTACAGAAAAACTGAGAAAGCAAAAATTAATTAAATACATCAGAGACAACAGGATATTATATATTAAACAAGCAACCAACTTATAAATTAAAAGTATTCTAAAATTTGTTGAACAGTAGATCCACTATTGTCTCTTCCTCCCATTGAAACTGGTGATAGCAAGGGCGAAAGCACACAAAGGTCACTCCCATGCACAACAGATTCTGAGTGACAGGTACACAGACTAAAAATGTTATGGCAGTAATGCAGCAGTACAACAAGCTAGGGATCTCTTATGTTATTTTAAGAAGTGTAAAAAATTGCTTCAATATGAAACAGTGGCAGGACAGATTAGAATATGGCAGTCCACCAAGGTCTAGATAATTAATGGGAAACACTGCTTTGACATGGATAGGAAATTCACCTTCGGGGAGGTATGCACCCCTCAAGGATCCTTATAGTCCCATTATATATAATATATTTGCCCTGTGCGATGTTGAACTTGTGCATTTGATGTCAAAGCACAAATATCAGACCAGTCTGATGTCAACCAGCCAAATAAATCTCCCATATGACACCCAACAAGCTGGCCGACAAATTGTAAAGCTAATGGGTGTTATAACATCCATTAGCAACACATTACTGTCACTTACAAAGAGGTATGGCACCAAATATTGAAAGGACATAAGAAGAGGTAGACGTGCATTAAATCAAACTAGAAATGCAGAAAGAGGGTCTTTATTTGGTCTGTCTAAATGTGACAGAGTTAAAGGTTAAAGCACAGGTTGCTGTGCAGAGTCACCATCTGAGTATATGCAGTCCTCTGCTGATGTGTTCATTCCAGCTGTAACCTCTCTCCTCCGCTCTCACATTTCATGTCATTCGTCACCACTGGGAAAAAAGTTTTAACAGCTAGCTGCACAAATGGCTGTGTGCGTTTCATTGGAGGATAGATGGCTGCTTGAGTTTCTCCTCTGGGTTTCTGCTGAGCGTTATACTTTCTGAGGGAGAAATTATAAGGATGCTTGCGGCACATGGAACAGCATCCACATCTGACTTTGGCTCGCAACATAAATCAGGAAGTGAAAGTGGAAAAAAAAATAAATAACGGGGCTACATGTGGAAGCAGCGACCCTCAATGCAAATGGGCGTCAGCCTTTGACACCAAATAAAAGAAAGAGTCATGTGGAAGCCTGGTTTTTGTCTTTTTCTATCTCTAGATGTGTTTTTTCCAATTCAAATTTAAAACTATATGGCACTTTGCATGTCTGGTTCATTTTAATGGTGGAAAGAACATTAATGAGGTACTTTACTTGTAAATAAGTAAATTTGTTTGCTTCTATAAATCTATTCCAGGACTTTTCTGGAAATCTCTATTCACCTAGCAAATTATTAAACAACAAATAAGCTGACAAAATACTCTGCATTGCTAATGATTGATCTTGTCTTTTAAAAATGCAGTGCCTAGTTGTCCCACTTCAAATGTCATTTAGCAGATCCATCACAGATTTCCCAAATGGATGAGATATGTTTTTTTTTCCTCTTCACTCCTGCCACATTAATAATTTCATGGGCCTCAGGTTAATCTTTTGACCCTCGGGATCTAACCGAACCCCCAGGTTGTGAATCACTGAACCAAACATAAAAAATGCAAAACTGTAGCTCTGCCTGACACAACAATATGCAATGATGCAATGAGACATCAGGTTAAGAATGTGGTGCTGCTAATTCTTTTCTTCTTTGACTTAATCTTGATTGCAAATGCAGGAGTTTTGCTTTTTGTTTTTCGATTGTTTTGTTGGTAATTTTTGTTAAGTTTACTTGGGTGTTCTCTGTCACCCAGAAGAAGTTACAAATCAAAAGAAAAAATATGAACACAGCTTAAGCAAAAAAGTTGAAAATACTGAATGTCTACTAAAAGGCAGTTAGTTGTTCGTCCACAGAGAGCCGAGCTCATCAAAGTTGGACCTTTCCTCTATCATCCCTTTGGTTTACTTTGGTTTAAAGCATTTCAGAGCAGTGGGTACAAATGAGCATGCTGTCAGCATTTAGCACAAAAGTCATGTAAAATAATAAATAAATAACAAGGCTCATTTAGTTTTTTGTTTTTACCAAATGCCTGTTGGTTCAGTCATTGTTAGAAGCGGCCTTGAGCCTCTTTGAGGGACCAAAGACCTTTGCAGCTCGGTTCTCTTTGCACTTTTGAAGGTTTGAAACCAGTGTGCTGGGACTCCTTCATCATCAGCCTCCCCTGTAGCAACAATATGATAAAAGCTATTAGAGTGTAATAATTACTAGGCTTTGCTAAGAAGTAGAAATGTTATGGGCTTCTCTCTAATCCCAGCAAATAAAATGTTGGACTCAATCCATGGGAGGAGAGTTATGGAGCAGGGAATACATTTTAAAAGAGTGGTAGTGCAACGTAGCTGAGAATAAATAACTGCTATGAATTTAAGATGAATGTATAGTGAACTGCATATGAGGAGCGCCATGAATTCCTCTGGTGACATGGAAGATTATGCGTTTTGCTGTGTTAAGGTCAGATGGTGGAGAGATATCGAACATGCTTTTGATTTTTTAAACCCAGGCAAATCTTAAAATTCACTTACAAAGCTTGAATAACGTCCATCCACAAGTGCTCAACTGTCGGGATATATATATTTATATGTCTCCTAAATAACCTGCAGCATTGTCAGGAAGATCAGCATCACAATACCTGTCAGTTGTGTTTTGCTCTGTCTTAGAGGAAAAAAACATGTTTTACTTCTGCTTCACAAACCACAGGCTGCATTCTTCTAGAAGTAGATTTATAGACTTGTCTCCGACACTGATACGGGAACAGGTCTGAAATTGATCGCTCTGATCAATCACAAGCAGACTAGAGGAGTTACCTAACGGGTGAAGTGGCTCACCATGAGTAATGTGATGTTCATTAAATATTGAGAAAAACTGTCGCCAAATGTAAAATGATACTCCCCCATACTGGCAAAACAGTTTCTCAGAAATAACAAGCCATCGGTTTGGCAGTAGACCTGAGCACTGCAGAAATAATCTGTGCAGCGGCATGTCGGCAATATGTAGGGTTACCCACCTCTCACACATTTATTGGAAATGGCCCGGTGGTAAATTGGTTCATGTTTTTCTGGCTCCTCGACCCTTAACCCACTCTTAACACTGTTACATCCACTTCATATCAAATTCTACTCTGGCTTCACACTCTGGCTTTTTCTCTGAATCACCGACAGATACATTATGAAAACAAGCATCAGGGACACACTCTCTAACCTGAATTAAAATCCTCTCTCTCTGTATAGTCATGGATCATCTTCATTGCTTTTATTATATTCATCCTAATGGACGGTGATTTTATAACCTCATTTCCAGATGCGGACACACTACACACCATCCATAGACTGGATAAAAAGATGGATGACATGACTGCTCCCCAAAATTGAAGCCAATGCGTCTTGATAGGTCATAATCTTTACCTGCTCCGTGTTAATGGAAGGGACATTGACCAAACAAAAAATATCAAAGTACACGTCATATAAATATTTCTCAAAGATGGTTTCTGTAATTTTAGATAGTTCTTATCACACTGATGTTCGTTCAAGTGTTGGGAGGATTAGAGATTAGAGCTTGATTAGTAAATGTTAACTTTTCCAATAAAAAAATGTCATGATGTCGAGAGATCCCCAACAGTTGTGTCAGTTTTGGCCTTACATGGCGTTCAGTTAGTTGGTCTAGAATGTCTCTAGAAAAGTCTATGGCAGGGACTGAATGCTGAGAGTGAAGTTTTAAAGTGGAACGTGTGACTGCCTCAACTGGACCGTAAATAAGACAAACTCGTACTTACCTATTGTTTTTTGTAATTGAACAGTAAGGCCCCTAATTTTCTAGACAAAGCTCTTTTGATGGAATTTAAAGTCCAACAAAACGGAGCTAAACTGAGGACGAATAAAGCTCTTTGTAGAGTATATGCAAAGTGTCACTGTGAGTCAGGCCCATTTCCTGCACTGTTCTGCTGAGCACATCCTCTTTAATCAGATTTAATGTATGCAATGTTTAAAGAGATTCAGCTCCACTTGAAATTAATATTACAAGCTCCACTCAGCTGGTCCTCAGTTTATATCCTGTTTTCATTATATGAATCATTAAGTTATCAATTTGGTGGCAGTATTTGCTGGAATTGAATCCTGTAGGGCTCATTAAACCTATTTTCGTGCTGCTAACATGCCGAACAACAGTGAGTCGTCACACATCTAAAGCTCATTGATGGGAATGGGAATTTAGTTCAGACTTCTGGAACATGTGCTGTGAATAAACCTCTCAGACACCAATAAATGTCAGCGGGCTGTCCCGGGGAAGGAAATGTGTGGCAGCGACAGAGCAAACATGCTTCCTGTGAGTTATTCATTATGCCAGGAGTGAGTGTGGCTGTACCTGCACTCATCTCACTGAGCCTTGTTTAAATGAGGCAGGACAGACAGTGCCATCCAGAAAAGGTCAAGTTGTCCAGCCTGCATGTTAATTGTCTAATGTCAGAGCCGAGACACAGCTCACACATCTGCACAAATCATCATCACTGTGGGTAAACACAGAGTAAGAGCCGCTGACGGATGTGTCTCTGCAGACCGTGACCTGAAACTGACCTTTCATTAAAGACGCACAAAGGGAGCGGACACAACATCAACAGCTAGTCGTCATGAGGCGTGATGTCAGCGAGCTGCACACAGCACATTAATGTTAACTGCCGGCCGGTCACGCTTTACAGCAAAGTGCCAGAAGCAGTGACACGAGTTCAGCTTCAGGTTTAGGTTCTTGACCCGTCCTCTGCATCACAACTGATGACGATGAGTTTCTACGCCTCAAGTGTTTTTATGGCAAATTTGCTGAACCTGCAGGACTTAATTAGTGGGGATAGGTTGCCAAATATGTAATTTTAATTTCAGGCTATCAGACAGTCGTGGGTTGATAAAGGTGGTTACTCTTGTCAAAAATATCAGAACATTTCTTGCACAGTTTATTTGTTCTTTTTGCTTTTTTTGGGAAATCACTTGAATTTATTATTCTCAGATTTTCTTCTTTGGGAACCTGGAGGCAACACATTCCAACAGTAAACACGACAGCGACTCATTATTCCCCTTAAGTAAGTTGATATGATGAATGTGGTAAAAGACAGTTGCTTATGTACCGATCTAGCAGACACAGAGCGACATTAGTTTTTATGGTGTTTCAGACAAGAAAGCAAATCAAAGCCGTTTCTAGACATGAACTCCAGAAAATGTCAGGAACCACAACTTTTCCTTTCACTTATAAAGAACCTGTAAGAGATTGTCTGGATCAACAACAGTAAAATGTCAGAGTCAGTACATCACGTATTAAATTCCATTGCAAAAATCATGTGTTTTTGTTTACAGCACATCTACACCGCTGTATGTTCTCATCACCAAAATCTCTCGAATCTGGTTGTCTTTCCAAGTAAACATCTTCGTCTTCTGTGTTCGGCTCCTCTTTTTCATCCTGAGATATTTGTATTCTTTTAGTTTTTTTCAGTTTTGCATCTGTCACACTCTCTCGCTCTGAATTTCCCAGACATTATCCTATTCTCTAATCTCACCTGGGCTCACTCAGACAGGAACACTTTTGGAAAATCCCCAGAGCACCTGACTCAGACATTTGCATTCTCACATACAGCCCCTCTGGAAAATTCCAGAAAAGTATCCAGTCTTAGGTTCATGTCTGAAAATAGCTTAATATTCATCCCTGTTTTGGTCTCCACCAAATTCTGAGCACATTATTCAAATGCGGCACAGTTCAGCTGTGCTTGTTAACCTTGTCTGTGGCAACAAGACTGATGAGTGATTGAAGTTGCAGGCTGGAAAACCAAAACTGAAAGATGCTAAAATATTCAAAAGAGCTGAGGGGAGCTGCAGAGTCAGATGGTAAATCTATGTCTTTTACGAAGAGGAACGTCTTATCTGTTCATTTGTAAAAAAAAAGATATATTGCTACAAAAACCTACCTTTACCCATAGTTGTTCAAGAACTGATTCAATATGGATTTTAGTCAGGATCAGGGTCTAAACGCTGTTTCAGAGGCTCAAACATCCTTGTAATAATATTTTATGGGATAGAGATTGGGTCAAATATGAAAAAAATACTTTCAGGAAATCCTGCAGCCTTTATGGTAAGTAGGGTTGTCCTTTACAAATCTATTTAGGGACAACCCTAGTAAAAATGTGTGTGGCAGACAGACTTAATGACATAATGAGAGAAGGGGTAGTCTTCCATTCTTGCATGCTCACTGGCTTTTAACAGGTCCCTGTCTAGTGGTAGGCAGTTAGAGCCTCAGCAGGGAATGTGTGCCAGTGGTGAGTCCTTCCCGGCCTTCTTTCAGTATGTTATTTATGCACCCTCTTCCTCTGCCAGCCTGAGGGAGGCAGGCCCATTATTCAGTGCCAAGTAAAGGAGGGCCAAGTGTCGTCTGAAATCTAGTTCACTGTCCCTCCCTCTTCGAACAGGGGAGCTTTTGGGATGCGGAGCTGGGCACCTTCAGCTGCCGTGGGCGTCTTGGTGTGCAGGCAAGTTAAGCCTGTGCCCACATCGCCATGGAGACCATAGTACACAGCAGTTTAGAAAGGGATGAGACAAATCCCCTCCCTTCTCTCCCCTCCTTTGTTAAAGCTATTTTAAAACCTGGTCTTCAAGAGTCCACCCTCAGGGGTTCTCAATCCCTTCAGCTGTTACTCACAAGCCAAACACAGAAAAATATGCACAAAACTATAATGTAAAAAGACGGACGACTGTGGCAGGAGTCCAAAAACATCACACTCACTCATCTATGCGTGACGCCTTCATTCAGGTTCCACCAGGGAGGGGAAACATGATAAATGAGGAGACTGTCTGAGCTGTTTAAGCAAACATTAGACAATGATAACTTGCAGGCTCGCTTGGAGATTTTAGTCTGAGAGAAGAGAAACAATTAAACATGGGAGAAGTAGGAAAAGATCAGATACTGGGTCAATCCTCCACAGAGGCATGTGAGATCCTAGTCACTACTATAAAGTCCTGTCCAGCAGACCACATACAGCAAGAGACCAGGGGTTAGAGTGGTTGAGTCTCATATTCTTCTTACCACTGTCACTGTTGTCGTCCACCAGGATGATCTCCTTGAGCATGTGCGCTGGTGTGTGGTTGACCACGCTGTGGACGGATCGCAGGATCACCGACAGCGCCTCGTTCACGAAGATGAAGACTACAGAGATCTGAGGAAGGTCCTCTTGGTATGTCAGCTGCTTGCACCTGTCAAGATACATTTGAGATTATTAGAAAATATACCAGGACCTCATCATTAGCATATCATCCAATGAGAAAAACACATTTGATCAATACCTGACACATATTTGATGAAGCTGTTTGCTTCTGACCACAGAGCCTTACTCTCTTCTCTTGCCTGTTTATATTTACATGAATTAACAGACATACTTAGGTCCAACTTGTAAATATGCTAGATTTATCCATGCAGGCTAGTTTTCATCTGCCTTCCCCGCACACGTTGACTGTAAAAAACATAAGCCGATCAGACAAGAACAAAACTCTACTGGATTCACCGCAAGCAAGCGGGGGTGTTGATGACATTTCTAACACGTGACAGACACAAAAATGAAAAAATGAAGAAAACACAAAGCTGTGACAAGAGCCGACACTTACTGATGCGTTCATAATGAATAAACCAATAACAATGCTGTAAGACGTGAAAACATGGACAAAAGCAAACAGCACATGTATGACACAAAAGTACAAATGAATAGTAAAACAGTATGAAGACTCAGGTGTATCAAGTAAAAGCATATAAATCATAAAACATACACACAACAATTAATGACCAGCAAAAAAAAAATCATAGCCTAAACCATTGTAGCTTCCTGCTTGTCTCACAAAAAGGAGAATGGTATTGATCCTCTCATCTAACTCTCAACATGAGCATGTGAAGCTATTTCCCAACATGTTAAGCCAAAGAGAGCCCCTATACCCAAATATGACTGTGTATTGATTTCAGCTTTATATGCAGCAGGTGAACAGATGTAAGACCTGAAGCCTTGAACACATAGAGAAAGACAGGCGAAGTGAAGATATTCTCAGTGTTGCTGCAGTGCTCCCTGACACCATTTAATGAAACCTCCTTAACAGACCCCAGGACACCCTTCTATTACAGTATTTTGATATCTCCACGCGCACCTCTGCATCACCCTCAGCCCACTTTTGACAGCTACAGCATAAACTTTTCTCCCTGCAGACATTTTGACTCATCTAAGCAGGAAAAACACAAGCGTAGCTAATAACATTAACGATTGCTCCGTCTGCATTAAAGCGTACCACTGAGCGTGCGCAGTAGGGAAGCTCTGAAGCCGGCTCAGTAAACTGGATGCAGAGCTAATTATTGGGATTTGTTACACCTTTTTGAAAAACCTGAATATTCACATAGGAGGGATTATCAGATGGATGTGTGGAGTTTAAGATGCCTTTTACCTGTTAAAAACTGCGTGTCGTTTACAGTGTATTCTCATGAAACAAAGATACGTATGCCTGGATTTTTTTTTCCCTCAGCATATCAAGCCAGCGTTGCAAAAAATAGCACTCTTTTCAGTTCAGTTCCATTTGAGGGTGAAAGCGGCAGCTCTCAGACGAGGATGTTCTGTACCACACTGTGGTGTCAGTGCTGCTGCTGCTGCTGCTGAGAAGCTGCAATACTGAAACCATTTGTTGAGCAAAAAGCACATTCCTGCAAGAGTCATGGGGAGAATGTGGAGTTTGACAGGTTAATGACTGACTCACCCCCAGTCACATCTATTATGTATTATGTTATCATCTCATCTTGTCAGTGGTGATAGACTGACTTTTTCAATAACCAAAACCAAGGTTATTTAATCACCACAACATTATAATTTGTAAGTGGCTGTATTTATATAGTCTACTTTAAGTGCTTTACAGCTACATTCACTCATTCATGCACATGGTCACACAGTGCTTCTACACGCAGAGTTTTTCCTTTCACACATCTTTCATTTACAGATGGCACAATTTGGTGGTTCAGTTTTATGCCCAAGGACACTTTAGGAGACAGATTGGATGAGCAGGGGATCAATCCTATCACTTTCTGTTTCCTGGACAACCCACTCTTCCACCTGAGCCACAACCTCTCAATTTAATATGGTTTCTGTTGCCAAAAGATTATTTTTTTTAAATCTAAAAGACTTGTGAATTATATGAGAATTTTCAAACACACTGCCAGCGATCAACATCCTGGTAGAAATCCTCGGTACATTTGTGTTCTCACATAAAGCCCCTCTGGAGAGAGTGTCGGGGGATCAGTCCATGTCTGAAAGCAGCCATACTTTAACACATCTGTCTCTTTTTTTACCTCCAGTCCTGTGTAGTCTCTGAAGTATTGCTGTCTCGTGTGTTTAGCACATGTGAACATTAACCTAGAAAAGTCTTATCCTGGTTTTCAATCTATCAACCAAATTATATTTTATTTAACAATATCTAAAAGAGAATATTAAATGAAAGAGAAAAGACGGTTTCTAACAGTGAGAAAGCTGAAAATATAGCTTTGTACCGTGACAGAAACCTGGATTGTGTGGCCTGTAAGGTCAGATCTCTGTTAAATGCACAGCTACAGTTATATAGCTGTTGAAGTAAGCTGCAATGAAAAGGCTCTTGACTTCAGTACTGCAGAGGACAGACTGAAGCCTAGTGTCATGCATGTGTTCTGTTATAGCCTTCATTCCATTACAGATGCTCAGGTGGAGGCAGAGCCGTTAAACACAGAAGGCAGCCACAAGTCAAACTGCGTTCATCCTCAGTCAGAGCGGAGAGGAGGAGGAGTGACAGCGTGTCTGTCTGTCACAGGAACCTGAATATTATTTGAATCATATACAGGAATACGAACAATCTCCTTTCTCTTGGTTCCATGTAAACATGAGGACACACATAGGTCTCCTTCTCTTCCACCTGTTCACTGTCTCACTTCCTCTCTCAGTCTCTGCCCCCCTCTCTCGCCCTCACACATGGACTCCATGGTAACCCCCAGTTTGCACATCTGTGACTAGAATCCTACTTCATGTCCCCACTTACACTGACCCAATTATTACAGTGAACTGTGATCAACACATGCAAATTTTGTTTGTGTGCATCTGCAGTGTCTCAATCACACAACTTGTCTTAATCTCTGCCGCTGGTTGTCTCTAACTCAGTCACATGGTATATATGTATATTTCCACCTGCGATTCTCAAATCGAAAACAACAGTGTGGACTGGACAGACTCACTTAGCTGATTCCTATGGCAACTGCAAGCACACACACACGCACGCACGCACGCACGTACACACACACAGACACATCAGGCATCTTGTGAATCTTTCCACGCTGCTCCAATTAGGAGCCGAACGCAACAGCTGACAAACACATTTCGCTCGCTCCTGCCTTTGTTTCCCCGTGTTTCCACATCTCTTATTCAGCAGTGCTGAGTCAAATGTGTGGGGATAATGAGGTGGTTAGGATAACTGTTGTGGCTGAATTATTTACAAGAGATTTTGACTGTGATGAAACACTTGTAATCTCATTCTGTATTAGCATATCAAATCAACATAAATCAGCGATAGTGTAAACAAATTTTCACTTCACTGAATCATGTTAACCTCTTATAGACGTCTGCTGAACATCGAGGCAGAGCGGAGGTAAAGACGCTGAAATGACATATTGCATTTGGGTGAAATAGCGTTCGCGCTATAGAGCTAATTAATGAGAGAATATATTGATTTGTCACAATGTATGAGTCTCACATGCTATTGCTACGTGACAGAGGCAACAAGTGAAACTGATTTTCAGTATAGAAAATCTGATTCAACAAGAGGCTGTCTCATTTTCATGAATCACAAATCAGGGCAGCTATAGAAAAGACCTTAAACGTACCTCTTCAACAAAATACTACAGGTTAATAGTCCATTATCCTTAAGACGGCTCTGAGCTGAGTGAAATAACCATGAAGTATTTCAGTGGCCTGTTTGAATTGGGGGGGGGGGGTTGTCCCACAATTCATTGCGGCAGTAACATTTAAAACCACAAAACCTCGTAGTTGCACCTGGACAGACCAACGTACATATTAAAAAAGAGAACAGCTGTTTAATTCTAATGACACGATCCAGAACTGAAGTAAAACCACACATGATCATCTGAGATCCTTCTTCTTCTCTGTCACATCTGCAATATCATCAACTAAATACAAGTATAAATATAAACAGAACTGCAAATATAAGTATAAATATCATCAGAGCTAAATACAAAGTCATTTCAAAAAAATAATTTCCTCCACTATTACTTTATACAATACATTACACATTTTTTTATAACTTTTGTTTAGTTTTTATTTAGAGTTTTATTTTTTGTTTATTTCGTGTGAGTTACTAATGGTCAAATGTTCCCTCTGTACAAACTAAAAACATCCTTCATTAGGAGGTGTGACTTTTGAATTGTGGTCATAGATCAGAGGATGTCACCGTATGGTACTGTCTGTTATAAATAAAGTAAAAAAATAAACACAAACAAGAATAAGTGGAGTTGGATTTTCCTTCCAACGCGGTTCTCCTTTCCTAACTCCTTGCAGCTTCTCCTTCACTTCATCTCTCCCTGACCTCATGATGTTTCCCACCGAGGTCAAGGAATAGTGAAGGTTAGTAAAGGAGATTATTTTGACACATCGCAGCCAACATCTCCAAATGAAAATTTGGCATCACATACACTCGTTGCTCACGGGGGGTAGTGACCAAATGTAGAATGTAATATCATAATGTATTGTTCCTGCATGTTGAAGCAAAGAAAATGATAACTTAGCTTAGGAAACATACTTTTCACCAAACTTATGCTTGTTATGAAACAGCTGATTTATCACTACATTTATTTATCACTGCAGAGTCATATTTTCAGACGTAAGAATAAGAAGTGTTGTTATCAGAGTCGAAAGGCTTTTGTTCAAGTGCTACCTTCAACATATTTTGTTCAAAGACAGCATGTTAGCTGCTCTTCCACCCTTGCTGTGAGCCATCTGAACTCTACTGGTGCTTGATGCTCCGATACCCCGGCGAACTGCGATGTCAGCTTGAGTCATCAACATCTATGGGGTCAGGGCGCAGGGGGACGGCCACACAGCAGATGGATCCCAGCGTGGTACTAAAGTTACATCATTCTCTCTTCACCCATTGGAAACCCGCCTCATACTCACACTGCCACTGGTGTGTGTGTG